CCGCCTGGTCGGCCGCAGCTCCTCGGAGCTCGCCGCAGCAGGTCGGGGCGCAGACGCTCCAGCGGCCCGCGGGCCGGGGCGCCGGGGCGTCGGAGCGCCCGGAGCTCCCGGGCCGCTGCGAGCCCCCCCTCTCCGCCGTGGCGCCGCGGGCGACGGGGGCGCCGACGGGCTCGGCCGCGGGCGCCCGCGGCGGCGCCCGCGGCACGGCGCCCCCGCGCGCCGGCCTCGGCGGCGGCCAGGAGCTGCGCGAGCGCGTGCCCGGGCCCGCAGGTGTCCGAGGAGAGCTGCACTGCTGCTGCTGCCGCTGCTGCTGCTGCTGCTGCTGCTGCGCTGCTGCTGGCGTTGCCGTCGACGCCGGGTTTCAGGCTCGGGGCGTGGCCGCTGGGGCGTTTCTCGTTGAGTCTCTCCAGGCCGAGGGCGGCGACGGCCCTGACAGCATCGTCTCTCGCCATCGCGGTCGCGGCCGTGGAGGCAGACGCGTCAAGGTGCGTCTCTGTGAGCAGCGAGCGCTTCTGTGAGCAGCGAGCCCGTTCAGGACGCGATAATTTCGCAAGCGATTCGCCTGACGCGGTGCAGGCTCGTTTGATGATCAAGCAGCTTCGTCGTCTGTCCTCTGCCCTCAACCTTGCCAGGCGATTGGTCCCGGGTGGCAGTGGCTCTTGTGTGCCGAATTCTGGGAGCCAGATGTTCTGAAGCTCTATACTCGTACGCAGTGGCCATCCTGTCTTTCCTCTCTTCTTTCCCGCAGGCGAGTCCGCAGTGCGCTTCATTGAAGATGTCGTCACGATTGTCCAGGCGAATTCCAATCTCACCTAGCAGCAGGTTCAGAATGAGCGTCGTCGGCGGTACTGCGATGGAGGACGCGGCCGACTCCAGCCGGCTGCGTTCGAAGGCCGGCCAGCTTCCTACCAGCGCATCGAGTTGAATGCTGCAGGCTGCTGACGGGGCGTGGCTCACTGAACCGCACCAGAACGATAGCGAGACCTGGGCTGACTGGCCCCCCACTCATGGTCGCCATTCCAGCGGTGAGGATCGGAGTTTTGCTCGTGCCTTCATTGAAGGCAACATCCAGCGGCACGAGGGCCTTGATATCTCGGTTGCCGAGCTCCGTGGAGCTTGCGAGCGTATGATGGCTCACACGTATGTCTCGGCTTGTGGTTTCGCGCCCCTGGGAGCTTGCTGTCCTGTCTGATGCTTTCCTGCAGGCCTCGATTGATTTGTTCGCCGTGTTCATCCACAAGCGCCAGTGGCCGAGATTGCTGCTGCTCTCTTGCATCTCTTTAGTCCCCAAACATGCGCAAACGACCGCGGCGGCGGACCTTCGTCCGATTGCCGTCTTCAGTGTTGTCCACATAGCTTGGTCGAGTGCCGTTGCCCGCAAACTGCTTGCGTGGCCCCGGGGACGATGCTTGCCCCCTGCCATCAAAAGGAGGTGTCCCTGGGCATGGGCCGGCGGACAGTTTCCTTGAAGCAGCCGTCGAGCTGGAAGCTGCCTCGGTCGATGGGGTCGCCCTGTCGGGGGGCACCGCCGATGGGATCAACGGTTTCGACAGGGTTCCCCTTGCCTTGGTGAGCTGCTTGTGCATCAAGATTGGCGTGCCGATTGACTTTGTTCACGCGTGATGGAGCATCTCCGTTCTACAGTTCGCTTCTGCCACCTGTGTGGCGGCATCGGGGTCGGCAGGTGCACCGCCGCAGGCTTTCCCCAAGGTGATGCCTTCTCGGTCATCGCTTCCATCTTGGTGACATTTGTCCCATGCCATGGCACGGGCGAAGGGCGTCAGCGCCTCGTTGAGGACTTGGGCTGACAATATCCGGTGGCTCAGCCGCACTGTTTCGCGGGTCCCCGTGGCTTTCTCTTGCCTTGAGCGGCTTTGCTTTCAATGAGACAAAAAACCGACGCCTGCTGCGCCTGGTCCTCGGGCCCGGACGCTCTGGCAGGAACGCCAAAAGGGAGGCCCGCGACGCGGCCATGAATGGCACCGTGGTCCCCCACGACACTTCGGCCATGCCCGCGCTGCGCCGACCACGGTTGAGCGCGCTCGCAAGGCCCATGATTTTCTGCATCGTCTTGAGGTGCCGCCCTTTCCCCCGTGCTGAGAAGATTGCCATGGTCGCCTCTGGGGCCCTGCAGCCTGTTGTCTGGGACGCAGATGCGCCCCGCGTCTATATGCGTACTACTGTACACGCTCTCGCGTCTTGCTTGTTTGCGGTGGTGACGTCCCGCGGGGGCAAGACAACGAAACGCAGTCCTGACCCAGCCTGCTTGCTCGGCGGTGGCGTCGAGAGCTTAGTCCAGACTCCGATGTTCGGTATCTTGCCGCGCCGCCGAACGTTGGGCCCGCGTAGCTTTCTCGCCCAGTTTGGCCGAGGTGCGTCAGGCAGGGTCGCGGGGATGTTGATTGCGCGCGCTACTGCCCACACGCTCCCTGCCGCCCTGCCGGTCCAGCTCCTCCGGGAGTCGTGGTTGGACGCAGGCTGGTCTCCGGGGGCGATTGGCGCCTGGCGGACCCCTCTGGCCAAGTGCGCGGCCATGTGCTGGCCTGCTGCCGCCAGGAGGTCGGATGCCCTATCGCCGAGGCCGCTGCGGGTTACGCATCGCTTCGCGCTGCTGCCCGCCCAAAGCCGGCCGCAGCGCGGAATGTCGACGTGGCCACCTGCACGTTGGGCTACAGCCGCGACCTCGGGGACCTGGCTGCTGGCTTTCTCTTCGCGCGCCTCACGGAGCTTCTCTTCGCCCAGAAGGATTTCGCGAGGATCGCTGGCGACGAGATCGATACCGCGTGCCCTTGCGGCGCCGAGGTCGAGACGCTCTCCCGCGTTTGTCGCCGGCGCTGCATGCGCAACGCGGACCAGGAGACCATCTCAGAGATTGCTGACCCATCGCAGGTGGGCGATGCCCTCGCCACTGTCGGCGTTGTCCAGACTACGCATGTTGAGCGGGTCTTTGAGACGCACGTCGAGAGGTGCGTTCCCACGGCCCCGCCAGATTGGGCCACTTTGCGCAAGTTCGTCGACGACGACGAGTTCGTGAATCTTTTCAGCGACGGCCCCGCTGACCCTGCTGATGATGCCCTGTGGCGCGTTGCAGGCAGCGGGGTGGTGTTCTGCGTGTCTCTGGCTGACGGGTCGCTCCGGTGGCGCTGGTGGTCTCACTCAAACGATATTCCGTGCTGAACTTGTTCTCGTGGTGGTCATGTTGGCCACCATTGTGGACCACGACTTACAGTGCCGTTTTTAGTACATGCTCCGCGTGCGGACCATGTATTAGAGATGCAGGGTTTAGTTTTAAAAAACAACAATGAGTGCATGCATAAGTTCACTCATACATTAACCACATATTTAAATCCTATATATTTCGGAAAATCCTATGTATTAGAAGCTGCCCTGTATGGGTCTGGATCGATGGCAAGTCCGTGGCGGGCGAGGCCCAGGCCTGCGTCGCCACTGGCAGCCGTGGCCTGCTGGGCTGCCACGCCGCCCGGCCGAACAGCAACCCTTGGCAGAAGGTCGACGACGTTTTCCGCGCCCGCCCTGCCCGACGAGTGGTGGTGACAAAGATCAAGATGCACGTGCAACGGGTGGCGGCCTTGGCTTGCCGCGTGCATTGTTTTCAGCTTTCGCTGCGACGCCGCCCGCGGCGCGGCGAGGGTGCTCTTCTGGCCCCAGCGGTGTCCGGCAAGCAGCTGGCGCACGGCCGCCAGTTTTACGACCGCTTCCTCAAGTGGTGGCGCACCCGGGCGTGGCCAGACCGCTGTGATGCCCCTTCCCGACACTCCCATGGCACCGTGTGCCTGGTGGAGCTGGCGGTGCCCTGCGAGATTCCCACGCAGACGCGCCTCCCGGTGAAGGAAGGCCCTGGCAAGAGGGGGGCATCTGCTAGGCTTGCGCCCGTCCACCGCTGTCCTGCCCCAGACGCTCAAGGCCAAGAGCAAGCTCGTGCAGGCGGTGATCAAGGCGCTTGAGCAGCGCTCTGCGGGGTTTGCGGCGCCCGTCCGCTGCTTCGCCCGCCCCTGGCGCGTAATCGGCTGCACGCAGGCGCCGACTACGCGCAAACCCTGACGACGCGGCCGCCGATGGACTGCCGAGCCTTGTGCGCGCAGCTCGAGACCTGCTTCGGGGGCCCCGTTGTCCGGCAGAGCAAGCTGCAGATGAACCACGTCTTCAAGACAACCCTGGGCGGTGCTCCTCTGATCGTTGTCACGGAGCGCGTCGCGGGCGCCGGCCCTCTCAGCGAGTGTTCGGCCATGCGCGGCCGCGCCTTCAGCGCCCTCGAGCAAGCAGGACGGCGGGAGGCAGCGTGCGGCCGCTTTCCGTGCTCGTGCGCATTAGGACCCAGCTGCCCACACGGTGGCGGATGATGGTACGGTCACGCATCTCAGCCCTGCGCGCGTGGCTCGTCATCCTGCCAAGCAGGCGCGTTGGGGCATCGCCCGCACGAAGGGCCGGCACCACGCCCAGGCCCGATAGGATTTCTGGGCGGGTTTCATGAACTGCAATCGTTTGTCCGTCCGCCGCTTCTAAATGCCACGCGTTCGGGTTCAATGCGGAGGACTCGTGGTGGGAATGTTTCTTATGTTACCGCAATGTCGACCAGCATGAGCTCAGCCGTGCGTGGCGGATGCCATGCCAGGGCTTCTCTGGTGCTGCTGGGCCGAGCGCCAGTCGTCCGAATGCGGCCAGCCCGTTTTCTTTTACAGCCGCTGGGGCCCGCAACGGTGTTTCCTCGTCTCCTTCACACGGCCCGCAATGGTGCCCATCCCTCCTCCTTGTCTGGGGCCCGCAATGGTGCCCGCCCGTCTGCTAGTCCGTGATTCATTGCCGTGCCGCCAGCGCGCCAGGCTTCCTTGCGGGGTGGCGCCCGTACCAAGGCGATGATGATGTCTACGTCGTCGCGTCGTCGCCGTCGTTGTCGTCATCGTCGTCGTCATCGCCGTCGTCGTAGCCAACCACGGCGACCACGGCGACGACCGCGACGACGACGAGGCCCGCGCCCGCAGGCCTGAGGCTGACGTCGGCGACATTCGCGGGGCAGCTGCGCTCCCCAGGCGGAGGCCGGGCGGAGGAGCGCGGGCCGGGGCCTCCCAGATGGGGTCGGCGGATAGCACAGACGGGACCCCTGGGTGTGGTTCCGGAACCCCTTGACGCGCCCCATCGTTGGGGTGTTGAGACCGCCGCAGGTTTTTCGGGGGGCCTGTCAAAGCCAGCTGGGATAACCTGGGCGGGGCTGTATGTGCACAGCCCGAGATCTCAACAATGGGGTCCGAGTGGGGTGGGTCGGAAGATCGCGCGGCAGCGCCGATGCATTGGCGATGTGGCGCGATGCGGATCATGATGTTCTCCACGCCGACGGCGTTGATGCATCGCCGATGCATCGATGATGCCTCGACGAAACCGCGAGATCTTCCGACACCATCTTATCCGAACCCATCTGGAATGTTTCTACGTCTCTACATACGGGGTCCAAGTAGACGGTCGGCGGCGAGCCTGGGGGGACGTGAGAGGGAGCGGGCCTTCTCAGAAGGCGGCGGGGCTTCTCAGAAGCCCCGGCGCCTTCTCAGAAGCCCTGCGTGGCTTCCGATGAGGTTCGCAGGGCTCCAGTCAACGTGGGGTCGGTGAAGCTTCGGGCTGCGCGCACCGATTGTGCCAGAGCTGGCAATTTGAGCTAGCGCGAAAGCTGAAATCCCACCAGCCCTCTGGGCGACTCTTCCCAACCCCGTCCTCACACGTCGGGGGAGGGGGAATTCCCCCTGTGGGCCTCTTCGGGGCCCCTGGGGGCCTCTGGTGCCGTTTTGAGTCACTCCCTGGCCCAGTCCTGGGCCAGCGCATCGGGGTTGGGGTGCCGAGCCCGCTCCGAGCACCGGGAGCCCTCTCGAGCCCAGCAGAGGCTCCCACAAGGGGGGCCCCGAGGGGGGACTGTCCGTGCGCCTCCGGCGTGGAGAGAGTCGTGAGCCGCAGCGGGCCGCGTCGCCGATGCATCGGGTATGCCGTGCCGGCCCTGTCTACTCTTAAGTCAGGCCTGGCCCTCTACAGGGGGAACATTCAAAAATAGTATAAAACTAGATTGGGGACGTTTTTTGTTGTTGTTGTTGTTGTTGTTGTTATTGTTGTTGTTGTTGTTGTTGTTGTTGTTGTTGTTGTTGTTGTTGTTGTTGTTGTTGTTGTTGTTGTTGTTGTTGTTGTTGTTGTTGTTGTTGTTGTTGTTGTTGTGTGTTTTACAATTTTGGGGCATTTTTGGAATATGTTTGGAGTATTTTTAGCTCTATGATGCTCCAGCCTACTTTAGCCTTGACCACCAGGAAGAATTTCGGGCGCCCCAGAAAAATACCGAAACCCAAGGGTTTTCACGTGCCGGGGCCCTGGGAGACGCTTTTCTGGGTGCTCGAAATTATTTCTGGGATGCGGTCCTTGAGTGGGACGGGAACAACATAACTGTAGGGGGACATGCCCGACCTAACTCTACTCGGACCCCCGTGGTCAGGCTTCGGGTGGCGCTGATGCATCGCCGATGCATCGATGATGCATCGACGGTGCGGCGAGATCCCCCGACCCCCTCACAGCCGACCCCGTGTGGGATGCTGCTGCTTTTCTGATCTGCGGGGCGAGAGCGAGCCTCTTCCGCGAGAGGCTCCGCGGGACGCGCAGTGCTTTCTTGAATGGACAGAGGAGGGGTGGGAGCAGGCGGGGCCTCGCGCGGCCAGAAGCGGGCGAAGCCCGGGGACGAGGCGGTGCCGACCGGGACGTGCAGGACAAGGCACACGGGGGATGCTGCTGCGCAGGGGGTCCGCGTTGGACGGTCGGCGGCAGGCCGGGGGGGCGGAGCGGAGGGGGCCCGCCCCCCCGGCGATCCCCCCCCCCGCGGGCGCGCCGCCGTGATGGGGTCGGAGGATCGCGCCACATCTCTCTAGGCCTCCCAGATGGGGTCGGAGTAGATGGGGTCGGAGGATCGCGCCGCATCGCCGATGCATCGGCGATGCGGCTCGATGCGGAACCCGATTTTCTCCACGCCGACTTTGCCGATGCATCGCCAGCGTCGCTGGTGCATCACTAGTGCATTACCTACGCATCCGCGATGGATCGGCGATGCGTTGGCGATGAGGCGCGATCCTCCGACCCCATCTACTCGGACCCCATCTGGGAGGCCTCTAATCTCAGGAGGGAAGAACACACACACACAGAGACAATTCATCGTCGATTCCCCAGAAAGAAATATGGGAAACTATGGGAAGTGGGGGGGGGGAGGACAAGAGCCCCGGAGATATGGGGAACTGTGGGGCATGTTCTTATTTGTGTGTATTGATTTGTGTGTTCCAGGGCCCCTTCAACATCGCCGATGCGGCTCAATGCGTGGCCCGACGTTTTCCACGTCGACGTCGCCGAGGCATCCCCCGACCCCATCGATACTCAAAGACCCCAGCTGGAGGTCCTCGAGGTGACAAGAGGGAGGGGGGGGCCCTCTTGGTCGCAGCGATGGGGGTCACACCGCGGTGGAACCAGGGCGGGCTGCGGGCCAGCAGTTTGCGCACCTGCGCGGCAGGTCGAGAAAGCGAGCGGCCGCGGGAGGATCGGATCGGCTCGGCAGGGAGGAGGCGTCAGGCTCCGCAGCGCCGCTTGTCGGCGGCGAGCGAGGGGGGGAATTGAGAAGGAGAAGGCCTTCTCAGAAGGCGGCGGGACTTCTCAGAAGCCCTCGCGCCTTCTCAGAAGTTTTTTCTGTCTTCGGGGAAGGCTTAGACAACTTCTCAGAAGTCCAGGGGACTTCTGAACCTTCTGAGAAGGTACGCCCCTTCTCACTTCCCCCCCTGGCTCGCCGCCTAGCTTGGAGTCCCTCCACTGCTGGAGGGACCGCAAGGATGGAACCCGAGCTTGAAGCTCAAGCCCAGCGGCGGCAGTACTTCATCCCGCCCTGCCCAGCGGACGAAAGCCACCCGGCCCCCAGCCGTCCACTCTTGCGCCGGGGCTCAGGCCGCAGGAGGGGGGCGTTTTTTTTGCACCGGATTTCACAAATTGATGTTGTTCTTACGGATTGTTCGAATCTGATTGTTTCCGTTGGTTCCCATTGGCGTTCCGGTTGCAGCGTGGGCCTCATTCTCGGATCGGCGATATGCTCCCGTCGTTCAGAGTGGGCCCCTCCTCCTGCTCATCTGCCACCTCCTTTGCCAATGTACGCGGCCCCATGCGGTTCCGATTGTGCATGACACAATGGGCCCCTCTTTTTCCAGGTTTGTTATGAGACGCGCTGGTGGATTGAGAAAAATAACAACGCAATGGGAAGGGATGGGCGGGATGAGCAGGATATCAGATACGTTGCAAGCGCAACTAGCTTGCCTCCACCCCCTCGTTCGCCCTCCCGTCAGTCCCCCCGTTACCGTCCGCCCGAGGGATGAGCGAAAGAGGGATTATTGGCACAGGCGAAACGTCGACCCACAACAGCCCGTTCCTCGACGATTTGTGCTCGGTTATTCATTCCTGCCTACGTGCGTGCGTTCTTCGGAGCCTATCGCCGATCTATGGTGACGAATCGCCGCTCTGGATACATGTCCACCCCGAGCCTCTACCCACCGTTCCCTCCCCCCCACGCAGGGCCGAGAGGTCCGATCGAAGTGAGGGCAAGACGAGCGCGGACGATGGCTGGAAGCAGCTCCTGCTCATCTTGGCTCTCTGTCGGTCTCGGGGCGGACGCCCTCCTCGTCGTGCGGGGGCCCAGGCTGACGGAGGGGAGACGAGGGGGGATGGGGGTGACCGAGGAGAAGGAGGAGTGAGGGAGGGAGGAAGGTGGACGTGGAGGAGGCGGAGGAGGTGGAGGGGGTGTGGAGGGAGAGGATGAAGACGAGAAAGGAGGCCGAGGAGGCGGAGGGCAGGATTGCGGTGTTTCGACCAGGCGTCCTCTGCCCAGAAGCAGCGCCTGCCCGTTTCGGGCAACGCTTGCTGTCGGGCATCATCCCCGCTGCTGCTGGCTGTCCCCACTGCACGTGTGCCGAAGCGACGATTGCCGAGAGCGCTGGCAGATGGAGGATCGGATAAGTGGGGAGGAGTGACGAAGAGGAGAGGATGGCTGAGGAGGAGAGGAGGAGAGGAGGAGAGGAGGATAGAAGGGCAATGACGATGAGCCTCTCCCTTCTCCTTCTCCTCGTGGCCCCTCCTCGCCACAAGCGCGCGCGCCGCCCCCTCTCCTGGCTGACGAGGGAGAGAGGATGGCGCTGAGGAAGGGGCCGAGGATCGCTGAGATCCGAGGAGGTCCGGAGGAGGGGCTGGGCGGATGGCGGAGGGCGAGGGGGGCTGTGACTCCCGGGGCTCCCCACGTTGTTGCCGCGGTGGCTCTACGTCTCGCGCCAGCTGGGTCGCCTGGCAGCGATTGCCACGAGCGTGACAGGGCGAGCCCACCTCGAACTTGCCCTGGCGGCGCCTCCAGCCACAGAGCAGCGATGACCCTCCGCGCGTGCGACGTCGCCGTCAGCGCCTTGTGCATGGCCGTCCCGTCGTCACGCGAGCCGTCGTCGGCGGTCGTCCACGTCAGCACCGTATTTGGCCGTAGACTCGCCGCCCACAGTGCCCGCTGCGCCCTGGGTTGAGCTCGCGTATCTGCCCCTAGCAAACCATCAGAGCGTCGTTGGGCTCCTAGCGCGTGCGGCTCCCTCGGGCCTCGCCCAAGCGCCCGGCGTCTCGACACCCCCCCCGAGCTGAGAGCCCCAACTGCTGGTGCCTCCCCCAGCGTTGTGGACGACGATCGATGGAGAGGAAGCATGTAAAACATGTTTTGAACATGTTTAGAACATTCACGACACTTTTAAACACATGTTGAATTCAATGGTCGGATTGTTGGGGTGTTGGTTTCCTCCTCCTCTCCCCTCCCGCGCTTGGTGCGACACGCCGGCGTCCACCCGGCAATGCCTCTGTCCACCTATAGCTCTTTTGGCGTTGACCCTGTAGGGTAATCCACAGGCGCCGCCGCAGGCGCTCTGTGCGGACTCTGTCGGCGCGGTCCGAGGCCCTGGAAACCCGCGGGCCACTGGAGATCTCGAGCGGGCAACAAGCAAAAAGAACAACAGGACTGTTGGGGTGCCCGTGTGTCGTTAAAGGCTTAACGACTTCTGCCGTCCTTCGACTCGCGCTGGAGCGGCCGCGATTTGCTTCACCTTTCCTTGGAGATCTTTGGATTTACCCGGATTTGTTTCGATCTGCCTGGATTTATTTGCATTTACCTCGATTTATCTGCATTCACCTGGATTTTTCTGGCTCGCTCCCTACAAGTCGATCGGCGAAAAGTCGACAAGCCCTTAGGGAGTGTGTCGTGGCGTCCACGGCCCCGGCGCTCGTGGAGGCCGGTCCGCGCCCCCCCCCCCCCCCCTTCCGCCCCCCTGCTCGAGGTCCGCAGGCTGCGGCCCACGGGCAGGACCCCGCGTCGCGCCCCCGCGGGCGGAGGCGTGGGGCCGCCGGCCCCCCCTCCTTTGCGGGGGCGCTCCCGGCGGAGGGCGGCGCCCTCGAGGGCCGAAGGGGGTGCCGATCCCCTCCTCGGCGCGAGTCGGGCCAGACGACAGGGGGGATAGGGAGAGAGGGGGGTTGTAACCCCCCCTCTCCCTATCCCCCCTTTCGTCTGGCCCGAGTCGAGTGTATCCGAAAGTTCTACGCAGCGCTTTCAAGATGCGACGCGAGTGTATGGCATGCGATTGAATGAAAAAAACATGTGTTTCATGGGTGCGCGCTCTTATTATAAGATCTTATGTTATTCTACAACTAACACGTTCTTAAAATAAGATCTAACAGACCCCGGGTTACGGAGTTTGCTGCGTGCAGCTGGTTTCGGCCCCGCCGCCGGGCCCATTCCTCGACACATGGGCGCCTCCGGCGCCGGGGGGCGCCGGGAAGGTCAGCTACGCGAGCTGTTTCTCGATTTCCCCCTTTGCTATCCCCCCCTCTCGCCCGGCCCGAGTAAGGGCGGCGGCAGGGCGGCGCGAGGCCACGGATGGTGCCCCATTAGGGCACTATCCGTGTCTCGGCGGCTCCGCGCTGTCCAGCGGTTGTTTTTGGTTGCCCCCGCGGAACTGCCTTGGGAACAGGAGTAGCGTTCCCAACAAAAAAAAACTCGCGGAAGTGACGTCGGGAGCCTCGAGACCGGGGTCAGTGGAAACGGGGGTCGGCCAGAACGCCGGATCTAGCAGGATCCTGCAGGGCCAGGGTCGCGTTGACCCGGGCTGGGGCGCAGGATCGGGCAGGATTTTGCAGGATTCTTCGCATTGACTTGGGCTTGGGTGCAGGATATTTCAGGATTCTACAAGGGCTGACTCACCCGGGTCTGGATTGACCCGGGTGAGAAGACTCCCGACAAAAATGCGCCCCCAAATGATGGCAATCTTTTTGGGTTTTTAGGTTTTCGGGGACCTTGGCATCATTCGGACGTGTGCATTTCTACTCCGCGACAACCA